TAAAACGCCAGAAGAACACCTTGCCCACTTAAGGGAAGTGTTAGAAATATTGAGAAAGGAAAAACTCTATTGCCGGCTACACAAATGCCATTTTAATGAAGAGCAAATTAAATACCTGGGACACTTAGTCTCCAGAGAGGGCGTTCGGCCAGACCCAGACAAAATAGCAAAAGTGAAAGATTGGCCAGAACCGACAAATGTCCATGAGACTCGGCAATTTCTGGGTCTCTCCAATTACTTCAGAAAGTTCATTCAGGGTTACTCCAAACTCGCCCAGCCATTAACTGATCTTACAAAGAAAAATAAACCATGGCTGTGGACTGAGGCGTGTCAAATGGCATTTGACGGATTAAAGGAGTGCTTGACCAGTGCTCCACTCCTTCATATGCCAGACCCTGAAAAAGAATACGAGGTAGTTGCTGACGCCTCCGACACGGCGTTAGGGGCTATCCTATTGCAAGAAGGACACCCCATTGCATACGCCAGTAAGAAGATGATACCCGCCGAACTTAACTACTCACCTACAGAAAAAGAGTTGTTGGCATCGGTATTTGCTGTACAACTCTGGCGGTGTTATTTGGAAGGCAGCAGGTTCCGCCTTGTGACGGACCACTGCCCTAACACTTACTTTAAAACACAACCCACGTTGTCACGAAGGCAGGCTCGCTGGTCTGAAACCTTTCAACAGTTCCAATTCGAATGGGAGTACCGCCCAGGGCGTGCAAACGTCGCAGATCCCCTTAGTCGACTCCCGGATCGGACTGTTCGAACGCTCGGGATGCCACATTACTTACGAGTAATGAGTTTGAGCAGCAGACCAGGACCAGATCACCAGCTCACGGAACCCGCTGGTGGTGCTTCGTCTACCTTGGTGACACGATTCAAAGATGCATATGAGAGCGCTACTGACTTGAAACCACACATCGAGTCCGGTGCACTCTTGTATGATAAGGGGTTGTTGTATCGTGGGGATCGACTAGTAGTACCTGGGCGTGAATTACGGAGGGAAGTGTGTGGACAGGCTCATGACTCTCCGTACTCTGGCCACTTTGGTCAGAAGAAAACCATCGACCTGGTACAGCGGTATTACTGGTGGCCAGGGATGCGAAAGGACATTATAGAATATGTCCGCACCTGCGACATATGTCAAAGGTGTAACTATAGTCGCCTTAAGCCAGCTGGCTTGGCGCAACCCCTGCATATCCCAGCCTCACCATGGGAAGCAGTGAGCATGGACTTCATCATGGACCTGCCAAAAACAAAGACCGACAATAATGCGATCATCGTCTTTGTTGACCGCTTGACGAAGATGGTCAGATTGGCAGCGACTACCACAGAGGTTTCCTCCAAGGAGACCGCTGATCTCCTCATCCATAATGTCATTAGGCATCATGGGTTACCCAAGGAGTTGCTGACTGATCGCGACAGCCGGTTTACTTCTGGGTTCTTCTCTCGACTGTCAGAGAGATGGGGGATTCGGCACCTTAAGAGTACAGCCTATCATCCACAGACGGATGGTCAGACTGAGGTTATGAACCGCACTGTCGAGGATTACCTTAGGAGCTATAGTGCTATTGTACAAGACGATTGGGATCAACAACTCAGTTTAGCTGAGTTTGCCATAAATAATGCTAAGAATGAGTCAACCAAAGAGACTCCATTCTTTCTAAATTATGGGCGACATGTAGTCAGCCCACTAGCATATGATATCCCAACACGTCTTGCACAGTCGGACACCACCCGTGAGGGGTGCGAGGGATACGAGGTCCCAGACCAGATCCCGGCTGTAACTCAAATGACGGCTAAGGTTGCCTCTGCCCTAAAGTTGGCAAAAGAGCACCTACAACAAGCCCGAGATCGTCAAAGACGTGTAGCAGATCCGCATAGACGAGACGTCGTCTATCAAGTAGGAGATCGAGTACTCCTGCAATCAAAGAACATCTCCCTGAAACATCCAGGGACGAAAAAGCTCTTGCCAAGATGGCTTGGACCATTCCGAGTGGAGGCGAGAATTGGTGAGGTCGCCTACCAACTCGCGCTACCGCCGAGCATGAAACGGGTTCACCCCGTATTTCATGTTTCGAAATTGGCACTATATAAAGATGGAGGTCGTGTACAACCTCCACCCCCTCCAATTGAGTTGGAGGGTGGACTCGAATACACTGTCGAGAATATTCTTGACAAACGTGTTCGACGAGTACGAAACAAACTACGTACAGAATATTTAGTAAAGTGGACCGGGTATGGTCATGAACATAACAGTTGGGAACCTGAAAGAAATATGACCAACTGTGCAGAAATATTGCAAACATTTGAGAACCAATATTCAAAGCATAATCACCCGTCAGGTGCTAGACGTAGTAAGCGTCAAAAACAAAAACGCTAAGAATTAGTTGTTGTACCTGTCATTCAGGTGATCTACCGCTGGATTCAAAATGTCGAGAGAGGCATGCGACCAGCGCGAGCACCCGCACCTGGGAGGGGCAGTGGGCCCTCAGGTCGCGGCGGACCTAGCGGCCGTGGTAGAGGAGGCCGTGATGCCCGTGGTGGTCGCGGACGCGGCTCACCTTCGGGTCCTTGATTTACCTCCGGTAGGGAGCGACAGATTTCCCCTTGGGGTGATCCCAGGGTGACACGCAGACACATATACAGAGGAGGGATTTGACTTGACAGTGTTTTGTATGTATGGCTCCTCTTGTTAATGTGTTCTGCCGACAACAAAACAGGTAAGGTATTTGTCTCAACCGGGAGACCTGCTGGACGACTCTCTGGTAGGTTCTCGCCGCGTATTTATGTGACACATTGTATACCTCCGAGGACGTCGGTCCCGGGGGAGGGACGAGTTGATATGCCGTGTGGGTATTAAAACCCATTAAGGCAATATAGGTTATATTGAGTTCCATTATTGGAACTCTAGATTATTAGAAACCGTCCCTTGTCACTAGTCTAGGGTGACTGGCTTCCCTAGACTATGTATGTAGTCTCAAGCCACGTAAAGTACTAGAACATATAAATATATATATTATACCGTCTTGTAACGGGTGGTCCGGCGTGAGTCATGGTGACTCACGTGCCGTGGCGAGGTGGGTCCACGGACTTAGCGGGAAGGCGCCCACCGTAGCATTAGCCTGTATCATTGCACCTCACGAGTAATAGCATTTCAGCGGTTGCTCAAGATCAAGATTGTAGAGAATCTATGGTTTGATCAGAAAAAATAGAGGGTACCAAGCGGGCTTCTTTTCAACTAACAACGTTCTATCCTCCTTGGCAACCACAGAGGGGTGCACAGGGTAGGTGCAAGTGGATAATAGATTCTGTTGATATTGTGCATGAGTTGTGATAGATTTTGTTCCTGTCTGTTATTTTTCTGTTTGTTTTGGATGGGGTTTCCGTTGCAGGTTGACTAAGGGAAGATATTATTTTGATATTTTTACGATCAGTGTCAAACAGACGCTAAGAAGTTGGGGTGGTGGGGGTGTCTCCAGGTCATGGACGCTAAGAGATTAAGTTATTGCACTGAAATCAAATTTAGGTCTGATGCACAAGAATGCGGCTCATTAGCAACATACGATTCATGGCTTGTTCCAAAACCTCCCTCAAGCAAGCCCTTAGAATGAAGCAATTCACATTAATTGGGATTGCTCCCAATGCCCACCATGGCTTTTAGAATCCCACTTTTTAAGCCCCCAGAATTGCTACAAACCAGACTCTCTTTTCTTTGTGTTACACATACCAGCAGTCACTTAATCCTGTCACATCAATATGGGTTGGTGACTAATCCAGGATAACTGGCTTGGCCCCAGGGGGGCAAGCTGCAAATAGAAGCTGCTTTAACATTTGAAATCATAGTGAATGTGTGTCGCACTATCGGACAATGTCGCTGAGTCATCCTGGGATAGAAATAAGGATTGGCCACAACAAGGGGTTGCGAGAGTGGATGGGTGGGTGTCTAAGCTTAGCGTCCATTGGACACTGAGGGAAGACACCATTTTGAATTTGGTATGCTTAGCATCAATGTGACGTTAGGCTCAGACACTCCTTCCCCCCCCCCCTTCCTTAGCGTCAATCCTTATTTCGATTTCAGGATGACTCAGCAACATTATCTAGCAAAGCCATACAACTTCAAAATAGTTTTAAGGGAAAAAGGTCGAAGTTGTGGGGATTGCAGTGATTTGAAAAGCGCGATGCCAAAAGCCATAATAGGCGATGGGAGCAGCCCCAAAGCCTACAAATTGATCCATTCTAGGGACTTCCTCGAAGATCGAAAGTTTTGAGGGAAGTTTTGCAACAAGTCATGAGTTATCTGCCACTGATCAATGGCGTCTTTTGTGCATCTTCCCACCTTACTTTGAATTTGGTGCAGTTACATAATCTCTTCGCGTCAATCCCAATCTCTTAGCGTCATGGCTGGACCCCTCCCCCCATTAACGTCAGTTTGCTGCCAAGCGTACCAAATTCAAAATAGTGTCTTCTCTAAGCGTGCAAAATCCACGATAGTGTCTTCCCCGACCATGTGGTTCTTGCTTCGCTCCTGCCCTGTCCCGCCCTAGAGACTGATGCTCCGTTGAGGTAAGGGATGGAGTCAAACCCAATAGCGAAGCGATTAGGCACAACCATTCATCGGAACCTTGGGTTAATGATGGAGATAGACACCCGTTGAGATACACATCGATTGGGCTGGAACGCAATTCATCTGCCACGTTGTGAAGATGCGGGTGGGTCAAGTCAGAATCGAGCAGCCAACCACCGAGCATGAAGAGGTCGCAGGGGTTGGGATTTTCGATGCCACGTGGCCAAAGCATCACCCCAAACCGGCATTGTGCCACTGCGCACAATGCACACGCAGGATATACCCATGCAAATCACGGCCCCCGAAACCGGTTGTCCCGCCCTTTGCGCGAGTCAAGGAGTTTGACTCCACGCCGCGGGAGGCCCGAGCGCGGGCCCCGGCTACCTGCCCCCACTCCCCGCTCCCCGCTCCCCCAGCCGCTCCTGGCGCCATGGACGGCGTGGGCAGCCGGCGTTGCGCCGGCGACGACGACGATCCCGACTACAGGACTCCTGTGAAGCGGTGCAAGACGGGGTCGGGCGAGGAGACGAAGTCGCTTGTGGCTCGCCGCAACACGAAAATCTTCAACGACATGGTGCACGGCAGCATCGAGCTCTCCCCGCTGGCCGTGGACATCATGGACTCGACGACGTTCCAGAGGATGCGCAGCCTGAGGCAGCTGGGCTTCGCCGCTTGGGTGTACCCCTCTGCGGAGCACAGCCGGTTCCAGCACTCGATCGGCGTCGCGCACCTGGCGGCCACGTACATGCAGGAGCTCATCAACCACTCGTCGGAGCTGCAGGCGATGGACCAGGAGGACAGGAGGAGGCTGAAGCTGCTGGCGGAGATTGCGGGTGAGGCGCAACGCCTCTGCGGATTTCTTCTGTCGCGTGTTCTTAATTTCCTTTGCTTGTTGAGCTACTTTTGTCGCGGGGTTGTCTTTGTTTTGGGGCGGCGAGTTGCGCAGCGTGGTAGTTGCCACGTACTGGTGATCAACGTGAGCTTCGAAAAGCGAACGCGCTGAGAGGAAAGCGCCATCCGAGCTCCGGATGAGGGAAGGGGGGCGCTGCACTCAAAGTAATACGTGCGGCTGGCCATCTTGTGTCTTGGGTTTGTTGATTGCTTGACTTTTAGGGACTGTAGGGCCATGCTGGTGGCGTTGTTACGGGCCGTTTCATCGCCATTTCAGCAGGGTGTTCGGGACGCACCGTACTTGATGTTGCACACACTACAGTTGTCAAAAGCCATGGGCAACGGGCACCTTACACCCTGCAGGTGACAGCAGGTGCACTGATATCCAACCGCTGTTTTCTCATTTGTACAAGATCAGCACACCTGAAATGATTATTGGCTTCACCTGGGGTTGGTGATAGATATCCCCACCTGTTCAGTAGCTGACCCGCAGTGCTGAAGGCAAAAGCATTTAAATCTCCTGTCTACCGCTAATTTGTTGGCCAGGCAGCAAGATGCTTCACTTTGTATGCAGGATTGTGTCATGACCTGGGCCATGGCCCTTTCAGCCATGCCTTCGAAAAGACTCTGCTTCCAAGGCTAGGCTACAAACCAAGAAACGGTGACCAGCACTGGTGAGTGCCACTGCAGCTCGACTGGCCAGGTCGTTTTGGTGCTTTCCCTGTGCTTGCCCTGAAAGAGTGGGCACAGTTTTGAGCCAGCACGCTGCAGGCAAGGTGTGCTTTTTTATCAGGACAACAGGGCTCTGGCCCTTTTCTTGCTGGAATCTTGTTACTGCAATAGTGTCTTACCTGAAGAGTCATAGGCTCTTGGGTTGTTAGCACGCTCTAAACCCCACAATCGAAGTACAAAGAAAATTTATCAGGTTGTTGCAAAGTCTTCCCTGCAGTAGGTAACAGACAGCAGAATGGCCCACAAGTAGACAGGACTGCAGTGTATTGTTGCCGTCTGTGTCTGTAGAGCACTGTGGCAATATGCCTTTTGCTCCCTGAAGTGTGGAACTATCGTGATGATGTGTGTTGAACATCACAATACACAACCCTCACACTGAAATTGGACACTCAGGTATGATTTAGCATTTGGAATCCAAAAATGCTTAAGAGAATTGCCAGCCATATTATGGGCAGATGTCATTTTGGATTCGACTTGTGCGCAGGGCACACGAGGACATGTCACTTAAGCTCCTTGACCGAATAATAGATCAGAAGGGGCTTGACTTGGAGCAGTATGGGCTGGATCAGGGTGATGTGGGGATCATAGGGGACCTCATATTGGGCAGGGATACCACAGGCATGTCTTCGCAGAGTTTGAACAATGGCTATGTTCAGCCATTCCTGTATGAGATTGTCGCTTGCAAGCGGAATGGCATCGACGTGGACAAGGTCGACTACCTGCAGCGGGATGGCAAGAACTGTGGGATCAATTGCAGCACCACATTTGATCGGTTGCCAAAGTTCATGCGGGTGAGCATGGCTTGCTGTCATCGGCCGCTCTTGTTAAAGCACAGTCTGTACCCATCTCAGAAAGGCACAATATTTTGGCTGCTTGGACAAAACAGATAACACAGTTGGTTGGCTTCCAATGATTTCTGAGAGCGTGCACCAATTTCCTGCAGATGTGTTCCTTCAATTGTCAGTTCTTAGCTCACACTCATGTTTAATACATATATATTGTATGTGTGTATATTGTGTGCATATGTGTTATACATACATTCATGTTGTACACTCGTGACAGTGGTGTTTGTTGGCAGATGAGATTCTTGTGATAACTTATTTGCTGTTTCACAAGGTTATTGACAACATGCTGTGGATGGATTCTGCCCGGGACAAATGCTTTGTTCCGTTGCCTCTTGTTATGATGAGGCGTCATGGCCAGGGTGCACTTCACATCATTTGCGTATCTGCATTTCTTCTGGCCGGGTACCACGCTAGAAATCGCTTACCTCCAAGGAGAAACTTCATTTTCTATCACTTTCTTACTCTACTTGCAATATGTCCAGCCATGCTCCAGGACAGAATTGTCCTGTCGCTAATTTTCATCATAGTGGAAGGTCAATACATTGTAGATGTCAAGTTTGTAGCATGCTTCACCGTTCCTGCATCTGAGCTGTTGCAGATGGGACAGTGCCAAAGACTTGTCTGTGAGCATGAAGGAAGTTTCAGGTTGCAGAATATTGGATGTTTCTGATCCGGATGGACCCAGTATACAGGAATACTTTTACTGCCCTTTGTGACAGGCCCCATGTGTCCTGATGTCAGTGTCTGCATAGGTCCTGCATCACTGTGTACTTTAACTGCTGGGGTGTTCGGCAATACCGGTATGTGCATTTGGTTCAGGTGATTGATGGAGTGCTCTGCTTCAGCTACCAGAACAAAAATGAACTGCAGAATCTGCTCACCGACCGGAGACACCACTACAAGAGGATATATCATCACAGGTATGTTGTGCGACTCACGTGATTAATTGCATGCAGCAAAACTCAGGAGTGACTCCAGCGACTCCCTATTTGGGAATACCATTGCCTTGGGAAGCTATTGGCACCTTTTCTGAAAGAAAATGAAGACTGGAGTCCGCGTTGTTGCTGCCCTGTTGCACCAAATCTTGCGTGCCTTGGTGAGGGCTTGCCGTATTTGTGTTCCCTGCCAGGAAGGGCGTTGCCATCGAGCTCATGATGTCTGACGCACTTGTGGAGGCAAACGGTGACTTGGACATCAGCTCCAAAGTGGACGATCCTGAGGCCTTTGAACGGCTCGATGACAGTCTTATCAACGTGGTGAAGAACTGGTCGTCCCCCAGTGCAGGCATGAAGAGGGCCCAAGATCTGATGAGGCGTGTGGATGCACGAGACCTCTACTCATTTTGTAACGAAGTGGTGGTTCCTCAAGAACGTGTGCATGAATTTAAGAAGGCACCCAAGGCCTCAGATATCACGACGTGCCAGAATGCCAATGGCACCCGCCTTACTCCGGAGGACATTCACGTTGTGCGGCACAGTCTGGACCATGGTATGAAAGACAGGGATCCACTGGAGTGTGTGCAATTCTACCACAAGACGGATGGTGGGGGGGAAACGATCCTCCATGAAGGCGAGTACACCTTGGATAAATGGGTAGAAAGGATGCAGGAGGTGCGGATACGCGTGTACAGCAAGAAGAGGGAAAAGATGGTGGCTGTTCGGTCTGCCCTTAAGCAGTGGGCGGAGAGGACATTTGGCACAAGTGAGCTGAAGTTTGGCACCCCGGAGGGCCCAAGACGCTGTGACAGGCTGCTGTGCTGACTGGGAACAGATGTTGATGGAAGAAAGTAGAGTCAGTCATCAAGCAGGTGATTCTGATGTGCCACAGTCTGTGTCCAGGCTGCTCCAGGGCGCTCGGTGTTTTCCTATCTATTGTTATTGGTGATGCATTTTCTGTTATTCACTGGATGAGTGAGGATATCTTTCGTCACCTGAGGGCGTCATAGCCTTTAACAGCTGTTTGGACTTTAGGCCATGGTCGGGTGGTTGATCTTCTCTATGTGTGTGGGGGGGGGGATGCACCATCAATTTCTTATGAACTACTGTAAAGTACTTTGCAGTGCTGAAGCACTAGATGGCTATGGTGATAAAGTTCAACGAATCCTTTACTGGGGACCCTTGGCTGACCATGCTTGCTGTGACGAGGCGAATGATGTTGACTCATGCCACCCAAATTTGAGCCACACATTTGGGTCCTTGCTTTTGGGGCGTTCAGAAAAGAAGAAACTTTGTTTGGGCTGCATGTTACCATCGGCATGGAAGTTTATGGACTTGGAGCAAAGATGCAAGCCCGAGCTCTGTGTGGTGCTGCATCGTGAGGCCTTTGTTTGGCCCTTCGGACGCAGGTATAGAGTCCAGACAAGTTCCTGTGGGCCACGCGTCTGCTTTGTTGTACCCCCAAGACCCTTGTCAATGCCCACGCAGTAATTCAGTCACATGCTGCTTCATGACTCAATCACAGCCAACGTACGAACATTCGGGCGACGTCCTTTCACTCAGATACTGGTGCTGGCTGTGGGACACTAGGATACAGAACCTGCACCAATAACAACAGATTACCGAGGCAAAGAGAAAGAGAAAGAACGTGTGGTCTTCCAAAAGCTGCCCACCCCTGAAATACTCAACGTCCGACTGAAATCGTTCGTATTGTCACTTCAAACGTCTCCTGCAGATTTGCAAGATCCATGAATCCATCCACACCAAGTGAACAGCGAAGGAATGATAAGAACATTGTACAATTACGGGAAAGAACTCACAATTTCCAAAATATTCCTTGAGGACAGGGCAACATATCCAATCTTTGATTTCTGAATAACACAAAGTTCTTCCGTTTTGTAATGTAAAGTTCCTCATGATTTGGACAAAACCACAGACACTCAGGCTGTCAAAAACAAACATTGGTGCGATGTATAAATTCCCATGAACCAAATAAACGATGCATTAATTCTATCATGGAGGATTTACATGCAGCGGCCCTTACTGCATGGAGTATGGTATTCACAGTGTTGTCCCACTCGGCCACGCAATAGATAACGCAAATGAACTGGCGACCAGTCCTAGACTTCAGGCAACACCGCCTCTGTTCTTGCTCGCCACCAAGTCGTCGGCGCCACAGGCGGCCTCTGGATCGCCTCTTGCCCGCTGGCATGGCCTTATGTACGGTGGAAGAAGGGAGTTACGTGAAGCCCTGGCCACCCTCCTGTCGTTGCCTCCCACGACTGACCTAATCAACAGTACACTCAAAGTGCACCTCGAAGGGTAGCTGCGGAGAATTTGGGTAGGTCATGCGACGGCCAGCGTGCGCGTGCCGCGTGCCTCCTCTTGAGTGCCTCGTTGGGCGAGGCGCGACGGCATTTGCGAAAGCTGGACGCCAACACGGGCGCGCACATGGCGCGTCGATCTAGAGGCGCAACAAGGGAAGGCGGCGACAAAGAGGCCTCGCCGCTCCTGGGAGATGGCGATCGCGGGGGGATCGAACTGGTCGGCCACGTCGCGCCGGCGAGGACGAAGGTAATCGCGTGAGGGGCACGCGAGAGGTCGGCCGACGGTGGAGCCGCACCACCTGCCTTGGCAACTTGGCGATGGTTGGAGATTCGCCTCTGCGGCATTGGCGCCCCCGCGGGCGGCACGTCGGCGGTTGGCCACTGGGCAGCAAGGGAATGTTGCGCCCCAGGCGTAGCTGTGATTGTGAAGCCGGTCGTTGGTTGAGGAGCGCGCTGCATGGCTCCGTTTGGGGAGCCCGTTGGGGCCACACAATGCGAAGAGAGGGGATAGAAGAGTACAGCCGCCGTCGGTCTGCAACTGCGCCGGGCCGGAAACGGATGATTCGCAAACGCGCTGGACGGTTGGCTGCGGGAATAGCGTTGGTATCTTTCTTGAAGGGAGCCGAGACGTTCGGAAGCCTGGATGCGTGTTTCGATTACGTCCAGTGTGTTTTCTTATCACCTCAGTCAGCTGTGCGGACGACTCCCGTGTGTGATTCGTAGCCTGGCCACCGACAACAAGCCGAGTTGGCGGCAGCTGGTTGTGAAGCAAGTGGGCCGGGAACGGTCTGTCCGCTGAGGGCGTCTGCTCGTGGCTTCGCTGCAGTTATCTGTCAAGGGAATGACGTGCACGGCGTGCTCAACAAGCGTCGAGAGGGCCCTAAGGTGCGTCCAGCGCGGTGTCCACGTTGTGGACATTTGGGCCCCAACAAGGAGATGGACCAACCACCAAGTCTGTCCGAAAAGTGCCCATCTGCTGCAGAGACGTCCCAATTGGGTTTTCCTTTTGACAAGCTGCTTTGGTTGACTGTGTCCCATGGACAAGATCTGCCCTGGTGGGCGCAAGGCCGCGACAGACGCTTCTACATCCACGATGCTTGTTTGCAGAATGCATACGAATGACTGACGAGGCAATGATCATGGCAGTGTGCTGCATACCTGGGATTTTGGAAACATACATGCCAGAAAGGAGGCCTTGATCTTAGTCACACAATTCCTGAATTCCCCGAAAGAGCTCCTGGATTGCAGTTTGCGACCCAGCGCTGACCTGGAGAAGATGAGTACCGTGCAGTGTTGCCAAAAGCAGAGTGAACAAATTGGTGTTAGACTTGGTTTATAAACGGAAAATGTAATAGTGTATTCCTAGGATTGAATGGAATCATGTGGAATCGTTATCTGCTCTGCTTGAAGATGGCTGTGCAAGCACCTCCAAATGTGCCTGGCAATAACGTCTATTGCAAATTCTACAGATCCAAGGAAAATGATACCATTTCAACTTGTCATATCCAGCCTGCTGTGAAAGAGCTGGTTAAGGGAGACTTCGTGGGTTTGCATTGTCATTGTCCCAAGCTATCTGGCCAGTTTTTTGCGCTTGGATGGGAAAAGTGAAACAAACAGCAGTGCCTATCTGAGAATTTGACTATGATCATTTGTCAAAATTGCAGCTCTTCAATCTGCACATATTTGTATGGGGCATTGTACAGTGGCGCACTGAATTTGATACGTGTGTAAATGATCTGTGGTTCGACATCACTGTGCTTTGTTTCAAGTTGTTAAAGAATTAGAAGGAATGGGTCGTGACTCCTTATGGGGTAAGGATGTCATACCTTCCTCGCCATTACCACCTTGGTTCTCCAAAGTAAACAATTTCCAGTTCGGAATTTCAAGTCTCTTGGCGTTTTGGAAACTGGCACAAGACTGGTGAACTGGGTTGGCACTGTCTTCTTCATGCCCACCTGCTGAACGAAAGAATTTCTCGATTTTGGGGTAGGACTGATAAGAAATGTGGGAGCAACATTGTCTGCAGACTGTGGTTTGTTAGGCACACTGATGAGCTAGTTTGCGATGTATCACCTGACTTGATATTTGTGCACATATAAAGACAGGAATGTCAGTTCAGCGCAACTGCGAAGCAAAGGAATCTTCTCTCTTATTGCAACATGATGCTGAACAGGTTGTGTGGTCTTCGTTTGTGGTGCAGCGCTGTCCACGGTGTCCACAAGGCCAGCGTTGCGCTCTTGCAGGAGGTCGCTGAGGCAAGGCCTGTTGACTGTGTTTGAGAAATATGGCTGACGCCCCACTGACAGTGGCTCACAAAAATGCTGTGCTGTCGAGCGCATCCAACATGGCAAGCTTGTTGGCCCTTATGAGCAGGTCGTTGACAGGGTACCCCTTCTCCACAAAGCATGTGAGGATTTTGCAGAAGTCTGGAATGTGAAGCAGATTATGCTGGATGCGAATGGGCTGGCCCATATGTCAATGCTGAACAGCAAACACACAGGGGTTGCAGAGACTTGGTAATGGGGGCAAGAATGAAACAGATGGCAATTTTGCATGCCACTGGTGCTGTTTGACATCCCCATGCAGGTGCAAAAAGACCTTGCATTGTCATCTTTGTTGTGATCGACCAATGCTGTTGATTCGGATTCACGATGTTGTGTCCAAACTTGACACTCAACCCTGAACTGCTGAACTCCTATTTTTGGGTTTGCTGTCAGGTTGAGCATGACAGGCATCTGGTCGCCACCAGCGACCTCATCGCAGCCATTGAAGATGCTGGTTTCGATGTAGAACTTTTGTCAGTCTCGCATGAAGAAAAGAACAAGGTTAGGTCTGCATTCATGTGGTGCAAACACAGTTCAGCAATCTGGACTGTGTCTGGTTGTGGCAAGTGAAGGCAGCCTGAGTTTTGTGCATGAAATATCTGCCCTGAAATCAGTGATGTGTTCCTGGCTTTCTGCTTGAAGTTTCTGACAAGAACCATTGTGCACCGTGTGGCTGTGTGTTCAACAACTGCACTGTGCATCCAATTTGGACTTCAACATTGCTCTGCCCTTCGACCGTGCCATGCAATGAAAACCAGTGCATCACACAGCCATTGTCCTGGTGGGACTCACATTGTCTTCCCTCACATGACCTAATTACAGCTGTTGCCCCACCATAGTTGCATAGCAGGGTTTGGCACACAATGCCAAGCAGCAAATCCAACGCATGACATGTTCTCAATCATCCTTCTGGGCTTGCAAGCAGTCGAAGTGTGATGGCCAGAGCGCTTGCCCAGCTCTAGATGTAAGCATCTGGATTGCATTTCCCTCTGTTGAGAGCAAAACACCATTATTTTTTGTTCGTTCTTCAGGTATGTCATCTCCAGATTGGTGGCATGACGTGTGCGGCATGCACGAGCTCTGTGGAGAGGGCCCTTGCTGCAGTGCCAGGTGTTATGAAAGTTAGGATTTCCTTGGCTCTGGGAGAGGCAGAAGTGGAGTGCACAGCCAGTGCTCAGGAGGTAGGTTGTCACAGCAGGACATTGCAGAGATATGCAGAAACAACCATCGTTGGTAAGAAACCATCTGCTCTCATGAGCTGTGCTGGTGCGGGTGGCAACCTGGACATGTTTCAGGCCATTTTCGCTCATACAAACTGCTGCAACTAGAAAGCGTATTGAAACTGACGGAAGAAAGGAAAAGAAAATGTTGTACGACAGGGCTGGCCCTCTTGAGCAAGCTTTCAGGATACTCTGTTCCATATCGTCCAAGGTGATGCAGAAGCCTTGCAACACAACAACAGAAGCACACAGCACTGCCGCCTATTTGATTGGCTCTGCAGTGTTCCACTGCATTGCCAAATTCTCCATATATATAAGCAACTGCTGGTTCTGTCTGCTCAAAGATATTTATGTCCTGCACACCAGCGCGAAGTGTACACTGCCACTTTTGCACTGCTTTGGACACACCTGTGACATCTCACCACCTCGATTCTGCATGCAGAACGACCTTCTCCAAGCAGTTGAGGATGCTGGCTTTGGTGCACAAGTCACCAACGGGAGTGCCACCCACTGCATCAGCATTGATATACAAGGCATTAGCAAAGGCTCAAGTGCCGATGATATTGAAAAGGCACTCAAAGGACGACCCGGAGTGATGGAGGTCAACATGTCCGATGCCTCCAGAGTGGAGGTGGGTGACGCCAGTTTGCATTGGTAAAGAAGAAATCAGATCCTGGGGCGTCACTATGATGCAAAGATATTGCAGGAATCTGAAAGTGCAGCATGAAAGACTCAAAACACAGTGGTTGATGTGAAGCTATGGCTACTGTATGCGATGCTACAATCAACCCATGAAACTGCAGTTGACAATGGGTAATTTCTTGCTGATGTGTGGCAAACATTTCTAGAATTAGATCCAAGACACAAATGGAGAGCTGGCAAATGCTGTCTTCAGTGTTCTGGATGGCTGTGATTGCTTGCCCACACATGTGTCTGCCACACAATGTGGTCCATTGACATTCTTTTGTCCCATCTAGTCATGGACCTGCACATGGTCTTTGTTGTTCTTTGCTCCTCAGGCAATGTGCATCATTTTGTATCTACATTTGCTGCACATGACCATTGTTGGTTTCTGTGCAAATTGGCTCAAAAAAATAACTGCCACACTGTTCCTGCCCACCTGGTTTGCACCAGTGGAATGCAGAGAATTTCAAGAGTATCAGATAGTGAAAATGAACATTTTCTATGAAAATCTTCACACAACTAGCCTTTGATACACACAGAATGTAAACATTGAATAGTAGTGGAGTAACAAACATGCATTCTGGCTCTGCTGGTGCTCCTCATCGCCTCCAAGGTGCAGGGGGCCTGTCTTGTGTTTCACAGGCACTGTTGGTCAAAAGAAATTTGTCAGTGTGCAGGTAGAATACAACCCAGATGCCACTGGACCCAGGGACCTTGTGCGTGCTGTTCAAGAACTTGGCTTTGGGGCAAGACTGGTGGAGTCTGGCGGTGACGCCGAGAGGGTTGATGCGCAGTGCAGAGAAAGGGAATACTGGTGGACGTTGTTCTCCACCAGCCTGCTGTTTTCCGTTCCAGTGTTTCTCATGGCGATGTTGGTGCCGAGGATGCCAGGTGGGAGCGTTGTCAAGACAGAAGTCTTGGGTCTACCCTTCGATGTGCTTTTCAAATGGGCGTTGACAACACCCGTTCAGTTTGTCATTGGCTGGAGGTTTCAGTCAGGAGCTTGGAGGTGCGGAGGCTGTGCAAGACACAGGAGCAACTGGTGGTCAATAAGAATGGGGTTGTGGAGTTGCTCTTGAGCATCAAGTGTTTGCTGTTGCTTCTAGCATCGGAGCAAGGATTGATCGCTATGAAATTGTCAGACCAATACACTGTGATTCCAACCCAAACTTTGTGGATAGATTGAACAAAAGTTTCAAGCATGACCAAGGCATTTGGAATGTGTGGGGCCTGAATGGCAGTGCTCGTACTAGCTTGGCATGGCGCAATCCAGTCCCTCTATTCATGAACCGGCACTTGAGGAGCCATTGACACCTGAAAATATCTGTTGGTGCCTTGTCTCACATTGGCAGCAGCTTCATCACCAGGCCACTGCTTTCACACTTGTTGGTTGAACCACGCTGTAGCTCATGTTTTTGACGATTGGTTGGCTGCTCCTTGAAAGTCAACAGCGTGCGATCCAGATGGACGTTGAAAAGGTTGGGAAGGTTCAGGACATTGCCACTGACTCTGCTTCCACTGCGGCAGGGCCTTGCGGCGCGGCACTGCAAACATGGACGTCCTTGTAGCACTGGGGACAGATGCATCCTATCTGTACTCCATTATATCAGTCTTGCACCACAGGTTCCTGGATCACACCAGAAATGAATACACGCCAACTGACTTCTTTGAAACGTCAGCCATGCTCATCACGTTTATTTTGATGGGCAAGTACCTGGAATCGGCGGCAAAGGGGAAAACATCAGAGGCGATCGCGAGTCTCCTTCGACTCATGCCTGACGGTGCTGTTCTTGTGGCATTGGGAAAGAATGGCGATGTGGTTATGGAGGATGACATACCATGCAACCTTGTGCAGAAGGGCGACTACCTCAAGGTGAGGTAATGACATGCTGGAAACTGGCCAGCTTGTTGTGCGCAGGGTATGGGTGTGCATCTGTTGGCATGACACTTCTTGGTCCGTTGTCCTGAATTCTGCCTAGCAAGATTGCTGTGAAGGGAAGACTGTTTGGTTTGTTGAGCTCTGTGACTGAACGAAATCGACGGGTTGGACGGGCCTCCGCACAAGCTGCTGTGTGTGGCATATTGGTGGGTCGATGATGCAGTCCATGATGCGGCTTTGTGTTGCTACTAGGGGATGTGGGGAACATAAGTCCATCAGTCCAGAGCTGGAGGCAAAGGGCAAGGGAATCTTATTGTTACAAAGCATAATGTTCCTGGTGTAGCAAGTTATGTCCTTTCTGCCAGAGGTATTGTGTGTAAATCGCTGGATTTGCCAGATTTTAGCAAGGCATGCTCAGGTATCTCCAAGGCATTGAAGGCCAACCTGGGCATCTTTAGTGGCTTTCCTAGGTGATTACCAGCATGCACCCTGTTGTACTGTCTCAATGATGCAGAATTTTTCTGTGGCAGCGATGTTGCATCGTGCATATGGGGATTAACGTTCATCCCACTTTTCCGTGGTGGAAGCCCAGATTCTTTCTCTTCAGTTCTGGGTCCTTTGGAATGGGGCACAATGGCTGGAAGTGAGCAAACTGTGTGTTGTTGTCTACCGCCATCATGGCCAGCTTCAGCGCAAGGGCATCTCCAAACTCTGCAGCAAAAACACATAAGAAGGTATCCATTGATAGCGGGCACTGCATGGGAATTGCTTTTTCATGCTCCACATTACCCAAGCAGTGCATGGGCTCTGGTAATGAAGCACCCTGTGCCTGCAGGGTCTGTAGGCTGGCTTGCATTGCCGCTCCACATACGATAATGATTTGGCTAAGCGCCCGTATTTTGGTGCAGATTTATCCTGGTGCAAGGGTGCCTGCAGATGGGGTGGTGGTTGAGGGCGTCTCCCACATGAACGAGTCCATGATCACAGGAGAATCCCGGGAGGTTGTGAAGAAGCAAGGGGACAACGTCATTGGGGGCACAGTTAACACGGTGAGCAGCAAAATACTGGGCATACTTGCACACAAATGTTGCGGCGGGCAGTAATGGAGTAGATAAGCATATGGCTACACTGACTGCAGAAGGAAATACATCAAATTTTCTGTTATTACAATGTCGATTCAGTTGCTGTCGTTGGCCATGTGTTGAGACTGTTGTGCATTAGTGGCCTGTTTGACTGAAGCGGTGCTCAGGCATCTCTCTTTAGTCTGGTGACGCAGAATAGAGCTTTTCCACTTTTGCTGGGGGAACCCCTGTAATGGAAGGATGCTGTATCGCAATGGAAGGATTTGTTGCCCACTCTTTGTCCTGCACAGCAGCCAAGCTAACAATCCACGCTACTGATCTGTGCAGCGCCACCAAGTGTTGCACTGAAGCTTTATTTTCATTCTTTGTCTTCTTGGATGCCGGTACGGCCATTTCAACTCCTGATCGATGTGGGTTTAGGGTGTTCCTATACCAAGCAGTGTGAAATCCTTGTAGACCAGCAGAAAACCTGTTGCCACTCGATGATCAGATTTCAGTGCAGCCACATGCTGCAAGCAGTATGTCGTTTTGCAATTGGCACATAAATTCATGTCTCCCATTTCCCAATTTTGACTTGCCTTGTTGCACTGACCACCTGCAGGGGGGTGCTCTGCTCATCAAGGCCACACGCGTCGGATCGGACACCTCCCTTGCTCAGATAGTCCGCCTGGTTGAACGTGCACAGCTGTCCAAGGCCCCCATCCAGGCGATGGCAGATCGAGTGTCGTCCATCTTTGTGCCCATCATTGTGTGCTTGGCATGCCTGACCTGGCTCGCTTGGTACATCAGTGGCAAGGCCGGGATGTTCCCTGCAGAATGGGTGCCACAGGGACACGATTTTTTCCTGTTTGCGCTGCTGTTTGCCATTGCGGTTCTGGTCATCGCCTGCCCTTGTGCCCTTGGACTGGCGACGCCAACCGCCGTAATGGTGGGCACAGGGCTAGGGGCCCAAATGGGGATTTTGATCAAAGGTGCGAAGCAAGGGATGTGGAAACCAGGGCAACATTGCACAGACTTTAAGCACCTACCTGGAGACGCAGATACGACCACTTTCTGTGTTTGACATTGTGTGCTGAAGCACCACTCTGCTGAGTCCGTTGGCTAGCCTTGCACAGTATGTTTTCTTGTTGTTTTTGCATTTGTGAAGTAGCTTCAACCAAGTTTTGGAAGTGCTGTAAAGCTCCCCAGTCAATGTTGCTGTGTCAGGGGCGAGGCAGATACTGTTGGGAGCTGTTCCGCTCAGTGCCTAGTTAGTGGTTTGTTAAAGTCGCAGTTTCTTGCTGAAATTCGCCGGGCTGTGCCCGCAGCGTGCCCAAACAAACTGCAAAAGAGCTTGTAGCTTCAACGGAGAGCTTGCAACATTGATGGACACTTCAGTGTGTCCCAACGTGCAGCATTATGTTTGCATTGCCCACGCTGCTGAGTTGAGTGCCTGAACCGTTGCAGGCGGGGAAGCTCTGGAGAAAGCGCACAACGTTGATTCCATTATTTTCGACAAGACAGGGACGCTGACACTGGGCAAGCCATATGTGGTCACTCATCAGCTGTTCGACCCCGACGTGTCATCAGAAGAGCTATTTGCCCTGGCCACAGCTGCGGAAGCTTCAAGCGAGCACCCGCTGTCCCGCGCGATCATGAAGCACGGCTTCCGCCTGCTGGCGGGCCCGAACGATCGCTGCCCTTCGCCAAGCCCTGATACCCAAAGGAGCTGTGGGAAGAAGAGGGAGAAGATGGAGGTGGGGTGGGTCCGGCCCTCAAGGAACGTTGACAACCGCCCTGGCAAGGGAGTCGTGTGCCAAACGGACGGGCGAAAAGGTGCGGAGGCGCGGGTGGCGGTGGGCAGCGCAAGGCTCATGAAGGAAGAGGGCATGTCCATCAGCGAGGAGGTGAGCGGCGCATTGCAAGCTTATTGCTTCGACTTGTCCGGTTCTCTGGGCGACTGCCTGAGCACAGCTTGTAGGCTCAGGATCCATTGTGCTGCGTTCTTCTTCGAAGAAAGGACACTGGAGAGAATGTTATGCATGCAAGGGTGCTGTGTCACTCTCTAGCGCAGTGCCATGTCAACTGTCACCTGCGATTGTGCCATGGTGATCGGAGACTCGCAGCGAGGCACAGCGAGCATGTGAAAGGACGCCGGCCGATGTGAATGAATGAACTAATGTATGTACCTTTTGGTCTCTCATATTATTCTTCCTCGAAGCCTCAAAGAGAACGATGCTGCAGGGCGTGGGCTTAGTTACTTTATAACATACACCTCCAGTCGGTGTCATGCTATTCGTAGGAACGCAATGCCAGCATTGCCATTTCGACAAACCTGAAGTTGAGATGACGCTTGCGTACGATCACGCTCCAGCGGATCTTTGCGCCCGTCCTGAACCATTGCAGTGCGCATCGCTGCGTGTCACAAGCCAATCCGTTTGCAGCTTCAAGCGCATGCTGGCCGATGGGCCAGGAGCTCCCCGTGCAGCGAACAATTATTTTCGACGCATCGACGCGTCGCACTCAATCCACGACCCCCACATCCTCAAACGCTATTTGCTGTGATTGCTGTTCGCCACGACTCCCCCCCCGTGTCGAGCTTTCCTCTTTCGTGGGACTAAGCATTCCTTTGGATTTGAGCAATTTTGGGGCTTCACATCGCCCTGCACGTTCTTGCTTGGTGGAGCAAGGCCCACATATCTTGTGATAGGGCGGGGCAGGCACCTGGGCGCTGAAGTGTGATGTAATTTTTTGGAATACGAAAAAGGACTCCCACATCCTCCTTTTAACTACATTTGTTGCATTGAAAAATTCAAAAGTCCTTGCACCCAACTGCCGGTGTCGGGCTACACATGACTCGACCTCCGCATCCATCCATTCTTTATTAAACAGTTTACGTCTGTTTCCCATTTTGTTCCTAGTTTATCAAAGAGTTCATTTCCTTGGGCAAAACATGATGATATGTCAGCTCAATGCAATCTGGTGGCCGCTTGGCTCAGGTGCACGCCTACATCCGGGAGCACCAGTCCGAGGGGCAGACCTGCGTCCTGGTGGGGTGCGCCTCGTCCGTTGTGGGCGTCATCTGCATCGCAGACCCCCCAAAGCCAGAGAGCCGCGGGGTGATCGCCGCCCTCCACACTCGCGGCTTGCAATGCTACATGGTGACGGGGGACAACTCGAGGACTGCCAGGGCCGTCAGCCGCACGCTGGGCATCCCGGCAAAGAACACGCAGGCGGAGGTGCTGCCGGCAGCAAAGGCCAACTTGGTGGGCATCCCCCCTGTGAGAATGCAAAGATCTGGCAAAGGCTCCGCGCGTTTCTCGCAACACCTGACCAAATTTGCGGCAGCGTGGACGTGGCGCGGACGCTCATCACCTAATGTGGGCGTTGGTTAGAATCGACGCTGCTTATATTGAGCGCTACACGGCACTACAAGGCTTTTTATTTGTTTCAACATGCGGCTCAGTAATGTACCGAAGAGTTGCAGGAGGACCGAATTATGTGACGGCAGTCGAGGTTGGTCGGATACATAGCATGTCTGGATATGACGGTCACAAAGGTTTGGTGAAGGCCATGAAAGGCAGGGCCATGTGAGCCCTAATACCTTAGAAAACTAAAAAAACACCTGAAAGCCATGAACCCAAGAATGGCTTCTGTAAACTTCATGTCTGGAAATTAATGGTATCAAATCTTTGTGGTTTTGGTGGCTGTTCATGTCCAGCGGGTTGGGCGCAGGCATGGGAGTCGGGTCGGTCGACGTGCTGTCATTTTCCCATTCCCCGAATCTTAAGGGGTTTTGATGGTGAAGTGAAGCCTAGTGCAGCCTGAGGGTCAATCCAGTCTAGCCAGTAGAGGATTAGCCTGTTCTAGTGATTCGAGCGCCAACATGGTCGTAGCAGAGGGACCTAAACTGTAGAACCTGAACCCTTAGACAGTCCTTAAACACCCGAAAAGGGAAGCGCCCGAGCCTTTTCAGGTTGGTCTAAGTTGAACCTCAATGTGGACGTTTCTGTTCTTAATTTGGACTCAGTTGGACTCAGTTGAAATTCAGTTGTCTGGATCACACTCTCGTCTCAGATTTTTAGTTCCTCTGTCTTGCTGATAGTATTGCTGACTGTGTTTTGGTGCTACCGTTCCCTTGCATCGCAGATTTTGCCCTGGAAGTCTAGCCAGCTACCCCACGGACGTGTGCAGTATCCCCCCTTCAAGTTGGGAATCACCAACTGACTCGGTTTGACTCGGTGTTGGTTTCCCAAATTTCTCCCACATCTCTGGATGCACGCATTTACGCTGTGAGTTTTACTTTTTAGAACTGGGGAGCTCCTGCAGCTTGACACGGTGCTGCCACACCAGGCTCATATTGCAGTATGTGAAACAGAGCGACCCACGTTGCCCTGCACGACTCCCAGCGGTTTGCCATGGATCCGATTCAAATTTCGGCTTCCATGGCGATCGAATTTGGGCAGTCCGCGCATGGACTTGCGTCGGCGCTCCTTAGGGGAGGCACTATGTCGGTTTTGCTACGCTTAGCGTGAGTTTGACGCTAAAAGAAAGGGGGGGGTGGAGTAAAACACAATCGACATAGTGCCTTCCCTTATAATTCGCAAGGCCCGTGTTTCACCACTATTTTTGCGACACATGCAGTCAAGGACTCGCGCATCGCAAGACATGCGGCAATTTCTCCATCCGCGTGTGCCTTCGCGACAGGTAACCGAGCTGCAGCGCAAAGGGCGCACTGTGGCCATGGTGGGTGACGGGATCAATGACTCGCCTGCGCTGGTGGCCGCCGATGTGGGCATGGCCATCGGCTCGGGCACGGACACCGCCATCGAAGCCGCAGACTACGTGCTCATGCGCAACGACCTCGAGGACGTCCTGGTGGCCATTGACCTGTCCTGGAAGACCTTCGCCAGGATCCAGCTCAATTTCGTGTGGGCCTTTGGCTACAACATCCTGATGATCCCCCTCGCCGCCGGCGTGCTGTACCCAGCGTTCCAGATACAGCTACCGCCGTGGGTGGCGGGCGGCGCCATGGCCCTCAGCTCCGTGACCGTGGTGTGCTCGTCGCTGCTGCTGAGGAGGTACACGAAGCCCAAGGGGGTGTTGAGGGACGTTTTCATTGAGTAACGCTGACTGGGGCGCTGCAGGTCGCAGCGCGTGGCGTTTTTTTTTCAATCTTGAATGTAGACTTCGAGAAGGGTTAACCAGAGGACAACGCGTGCGCAGCGCGTGCGGTCGTCCGAGCTTGCAGACTTTCGAGAAACAACGTTCTGCTGGCGGCTGGAGGTGGTTAGTGGGGTGGAAGGCGGCGAGGGGTTTGGCGATTGCCAAGACAGCGATTATCTCAATTGTCTTCTCTCCATGCACTTGATGGCCATGGGCTGCAGTTGCTACATTCTGCGCCTTGCCGAGCCTGGCCGTACGAACTTATTGCCAGTTTTTTCTTGGTTGGGGAGGACGAAATTCCACCATCATCACTCTTTTCGCAATGACTTGCAACGATTTTTCCTTTGGTCGCGACACGTAGCGCTGTGCATTTTGTGCAAGGACATTAGTAAGGCTATTTACTGATTCCTTTGTCCCATGTTGAATGACGCCTATTTGACAGACAAAATTCGCTACAAAAATGCCTTACAATTATAGAGGAAGCCATGAACAGAAAGATTGGGTCCCCAAACTCTGAACAGCCAATTTCCAAGAAGGAAAAGTAAGACCCGACCCCTTTGATGAGCTTTAAGCGAAAGCTAGATTTTGGTCATTTTTGTTCGAAAAATTCGAGGTTTACTGGTTAAAAGACCCTTGGTACAAAGTGATGCAAAATTAGCAATGCTTAACGGATTGACTTGATTTCTTCTGTGCATACTTCAAGCTCACTAGCACAGCTTTGGGGGAAATTGCACTGAAAAACAAAGTCTTTACGATGGACAAACTATGCGACAAAATCATATTATACATGTCTTATATGATAACACCTAAATAATATTTTAGAAAAACTTCCTTTATCTCATATTAAATGAATTTGAAGTATGTGATAATCCATTAAGTATCGTTTGTTTGCTTATTTATTTATTGTCTATTTGTTTATTTATTTATTCATTTATTTATTTGCTTGCTCACGTGTCTATCTATCTGTCTGTTTCCTTGTCGTTGAATACTGTATTACAAAACTCTTTGTCGATTTTTCCCCAATGAGTGCTTTGCATGGTGCATGTGGATGCACACAGCGTAAACATGCTCAGCATGTTCTTGCAATGATCGAGCCTCGATCGGCACAACTGTGGCGTCCCAAGATGCATCTCATGTTGAATGTTTATCTCGATACTAACTTCACAAACCATCGGCAAAGGCAGTAAAGTGGGGATGGATTTGGTCCTGGCCTCCCCTCCCACTGGCGGCCCCCAACTGCGATACGCACATTTGGGATGGGATCCCAAAATTGAGAGTGCATGGCTGCCATCGAAGTCGAAGGACTATTGATCAGCAACCTTCTAGCGGCTTTTGCAGCAAGCTCCAATACGAAGACGCCATTGTAAAAATGCCCCACATTGTTTGCCGCCACGTCCGCACAGCGTCCAGCGGACGCAGTCTCTAGCGCCCATGTCGACACAGGAGGCCACGCAACGGAGTCCTATTGCATTCGGATGCGACAACACAAGGGACTCACCAAGGGCATCGTGATTTTGCGACAGTGGATTGTCGTGAGGTTCCGTGTGGAAGCACAGGCGCGCTTTGGCAGGCTGCACTTGCTCACAACATTGTACGCCTTCCCGCTGATCGCTGCACATGAAGTCCTTCGGCGAAAGGGGCGACCGCAGAAATGGCCAAGCCTCCAATTGGCTGCTACATGTGTTTCCCTCCGAGGATGGTGCTGCTTATCACGCTGTAAGAAGCCGCAACGAAACTCACAGTGCGAACTGCATGCCGCGGGTCCCTTTCATTCCCTCGCAGTAGGCTCACCCAAAGCCTCACACGCACCAGCAACAGCGTACTGCGCCGCGGCCCCAAGACAACAAAGCGAAGCAAGCCTGCCAAATCCTCATCTACCTGCAGCTTGCATCCGCCTGGGCCGGATTCTCCATGCCAAAGACCACGTGCTATGCAGTAGTTCCAATCCTCATCCCAATGCATTGCCCACTATCATGCGACCGTGCTCCTACTCCAGCAACGTCTTTCGGCTGCATGGCCACGTAAGTTTACTGCCAGCCCATCAAGAACTCCCTCTTCGCCGCATGCTTTAATTCCGTCCCAAATGTAGCCTGGGTTGCCATTAGCTACTGCGGCTCTTGAGTTCGTTGATAATATTGCCAATGACCGTGGTTATCTCGCGGCTAAGGGCGGTCTGCGCAGCAAAAAACTGATATCGAAGGTGAATAACAGCCGCTTGCAGTGCCAACAAATTCTCCCTTCGTATTGTGTTGGAACTGTGAGGGCTGTAGCCAAAATAGCACTGCAATAATGTTCAATGTGAGCACACTTGCATATTTATAAGCTGGAGACGATGAAAATCTTCCTTGAGCACTACTGAAATACACACATATATTTTGAAGTATATTCAAAGTGGACCAGATCGTGTGCGTTCGGCCGCATTTTGGGCCTTTTGCCTCGAGTGCTAGAGAAGGGAAAGGCATGTCACAAGCAGGTCACAAGGCAGGTCACTCCCCATTCCTCTTCTGGGCAATGAAGTTCTCGTAATGCGCATTTCTGGGCTGTGGTATGGCCAAACCATAATGAGAAAGTCCTTAGTGCAGTAGTGTAACGAACTGCCAGGCAAATATCGATCGGGACAGAGGGAGGTATGGAAGACACTGTCGTCTTGGAGGGACCCTTCGACACTTTGCCCAGTCATACACAAGCGAAGGGCACTAGATGCCGTTGAAGAAACTTAACACTCGCACAGCAGTCAAGTTAAGACAACCGACTTTTCATCCTGTCGTATTGAAGCGGAACAGGCGAGATTTCATCTAGCGATCGATTGTTGTGGCGCCACAGCAAGATCTCTGAACCAATTCAGGCCGCACCTGAAGATCCAACAGTTTGCTTTCGAATTCGTTGGCCTTGTTGACCACAGCCGCGGGCGAATCTTGGAGGCCAGCACTTGCAAGCAGATCCTGCGCCAGGACCGATACCAAAGTTCAGGAACGCGCAGAACAAGGCACAACAATGGGAAAATATGTACGCCACACAAACAAGACACCGCTGTAGGCTGAATACTGTTTAACCAGCATATTGGAAGCAGCAATCCCATGACGCTGACATCGTCGCTCAAAAATGCAAAAGGTATCCTCTATAAAACTGCACATTCATATTTGCCAAAATGTAACTAAGGTAAATATACGTGCGGTTGGATATCACTCGGCACTGCTGGGCCAATACGTTCATCCGAGATTTAAAGCACACATCGCGCTCAGGCAGGGAGGAATCAAGTTGGATCCCGCCTGTTTGAGCACAATGCGAAGTTCTACTGTAGTTTTCCTAACGACATGTATTCCTGGCTGGCTCTCACCTCTTGCAGATCGTGCAGGACCACCCTAGCCAGTCTGCCAGCAAGTTCTTCTCCACAACAAGATCCCTGAAGTCCTCCGAGGCTCCCGACGTCGCGCAGCACCCTCCCCATCTCCCTCCCGGCCACCGACACCCTGCCCCACGCCCGCATGAATTCCCCCCCAGCCCCCGCGGGCAGCTTGCCCACCAGATCTCGCAGACCGCCCGCCCCGGCCGCCTCCCCGGACCCCATTTCCGCCCCGTACGTGGCACCCTCGACTCCGGGACGCCCCAGATTGTCCTCCCAGTCCTCGAATTCAGCACCAGGAGAATCCTCCTCGCGCTGCCATGTCTTCCGCTCTCGCAACGCCGAAAACTGCTCGCGCAACACGCCGCGGCTGCTGGCCGCCGACAGTTTACCACTCTGCCCGGCGTGCTGGACGGAATCGGCCAAGTGTTCCTCCCCGCGTGCCTCCCGGAGGCGGGATCTCCCAATGTCCGCGCCGCGCTGGCCCACCGGGATGTCCGCAAGCGGCTCGAAGTTCTCCTTGCCATCGGGGCAATGGATGGGTGGCCCCCTGCTGTGCCCTTCGTCCAATTGGCGGGGCGCCAGCACGGGGCTGGCGGCGCTCTCCGGGGAGGAGGACGTCGCATCGGACGGCAGCTTCTCACCCACGTCGATGGGGTGAGACGTGAGCCGCGCGGTGGCGTCCAGGCTGGGGCTGGTCGGCCCGGAATGCGGCCTCGCACACTGCCCTCGGGATGAGGCCCTCCGCTTGAAATTCCAGAGACAGCGCAGGCGGCCCGCCACCCCCGTGTCCCTGACGTCTTTGTCGGCTAGCTCGTCCTCCCCCTTGGCGACGGTTGTGATCGACCCGGCGGGATTGGAGGGCCCGCGCGGGGGGCACTTGGGGCCCTCTGCTGGAGAGAGGCAAGCTCCCGCCGGCGCGGGTACTCCGCTGCCATTTGCGCGCCGGCCGCTGCCTGCGCCTTCTGCGTCGATTGGAGAAGAGTGGGGAATAGTGATGGATGGGTGGAAGGTGGATTGACGAGGGGTCGCATCGGCGTCTTGGTCTGGTGCGCCACCTGTTGGAGGGACGGTCAGAGTATTTTCAGTCGTCGTTGCAGTCCAGACGGGCGGATCGAGGCAACTGCGAAACGACGGCAGAAAGTGCGGCAGTGCATCAGCTTGGTATCTGCAGCTCGCCAATAGCTAGGATGCTGCAGCGTGGGGAAGACGGCTGATATTACATAATGTGTGCCGTCGTTGCTGGGACTGGGAGGAAGTGAAAATCCTCGCAGGCCAGGGTTGCTGCAATACGAGAATGCCAGCTCCGCAAAGCGGCGTTGATCTTGCTGGGAGCCAACTGGCTTTACGCAACCACAATATCCATTCTTCTAACTGTGTAAATCGTTGGTATGTGCACTTCAGTTGAGCGTCGCAGATTCGGCCCTTCTTTTTGAAGAGCATTTCATCTTTTTGAATGAGCACATTCTGCTAAAATTTCTATTTCAAAATAAGTCCCCTATTCTTTGATTTCTGTCCTTTGCTTCCAGGGGTCCGGAAAATGTGGTTCAAAATTTGCTGAGACAATTTCACAGGAAGCCACGCAAACTTGGCAATTTGATATCTGAAACAAATCCAA